GCAAGTGGATGTTGCAGCGGTGTTTGGAAGTCGGGCGAATGTTTGCAGAATACGGCGACTTTTCACTTGCTCAAACTGACGACACTTTTTGATGATCACGTCTACGGTGGAAAAGCCCTTGCACATCAGGAGATTGAACGCGTCGTCGGCAATCCCTTTCAGGACATGCCCGACCTTGTCACTTTTTGTCATGTTGCTTTCGGCCTTTCGGCAGGTGGTCAGCACGGTTTGAATGTATGCGAGGTATGATTCCGTGGGGGTTTGGGCATGGCAGGCCAATTCCTTTTTGGCGGTGATCTTACGACTGGCAGTTTTGCCAAACACCTCTCGCATCTTTTCTTTGCATTGGTCCCAGCTTGTGAGTTCTTCTTTGTTCTTTTCATACTATACATTTGCCGTGTTTCTCAGGTAAAAGAGCACATTAGCCAACTGAAGTGTGGGATCCAATCTGTTCGGCACACTCACTCGTTCGAACATGGCCAACCAATCGTTAACGTCGACGCCATCGGTCCCGCAGAATGTACCGAGACACCCAGCACCTCTCACAAATATGTTACGGGGTCGGTTACTTCTGTACAAAATGCATTTACAGAAGAAAAAACCACAGGCAAGAGTAACAATGGCTGATTGGCCCACTCGCGCGCCTGTTAGCTGATTCTGTCCTTCCTCTTTCTTTACTTCATCTCCGTAATAATATTTCAAAATGTTACCAATTTTACAGGTTATCACTGGCATCCTGCCAAACTCAAATCTTGCTCCTACTGAAACTCAAACTAGTTTCGACTTCCTTTGAACAAAAAATGAAGGCATTTGCATAGAGGCTTATATCAATAAAGAAGTATTGTGCAGGTTAATTACGTCATGACAAAGATGCACAATTTTTCTTATAGTATGGAATATATACTATTCGTTTTCAATTCGAAATTATTTGACCAAACTACTATTCGCTTCGAATTCACTTTGAACCTGAGATTCACCATTCGCACAAGCCTAAAATATACCAATTGAACGACCATCAGGTAAACAAACTCCTCAGCTGTACACTTCGTTAAATATCTCGCCGAATTGCTATTGGACGCAATGCTAACGCCTTAAGTTTTGTAAAAAAATAGTGCAGAGCACTTTCAAGTTCTACGAACATATTTTGTGATACCATCCAACCCTGCAAGACGGAGAGGTGAGCGATTTGGTACTCATTCATTATCGCACTTGTGGTAATAAATGCGAAGTATTTCTCATCAAACTTCGGCGACTTTGAGCATATCTATCTATCTATCTATCTATCTATCTATCTATCTATCTATCTATCTATCTATCTATCTATCTATCTATCTATCTATCTATCTATCTATCTATCTATCTATCTATCTATCTATCTATCTATCTATCTATCTATCTATCTATCTATCTATCTATCTATCTATCTATCTATCTATCTATCTATCTATCTATCTATCTATCTATCTATCTATCTATCTATCTATCTATCTATCTATCTATCTCTCTCTCTATCTATCTATCTATCTATCTATCTATCTATCTATCTATCTATCTATCTATCTATCTATCTATCTATCTGCCTACGACTTTTAGCTCTCCTGGCCGTTTCAGTGATGGTATCGATACCAAGCTTGGTATGGCATAATATGACGAGAACAAGTGCCTAGTCATAACATCAAAACTCCCATGTATGCCATGAATGTAATGATTAACATGTCATGGTCTTTTTAGCCCTTGCGGTTGTTTCGTTCACATGGCATGTTGCAAAACTGGTATGCTATGACATGGCTGTATGGCGAACACAAGCGACAGATCCTAACATGAAAATCATGACATACGTGTCATGTAACAACAAAACTACATGCCACGCTCATGATGCGCTCGTTGCCGTTTCGGTAGCTTCACATGTACCAAATTTGGTGTTATGTGAGGTCAATGAATAACAGAAGTATATGACCGGTGCAAACATGATGATCATGGCACGCGCGTCATGTAAGTACAAGACAACTCACTGTGCTTATGATGCACTCGCGGTCGTTTTGCTAGCTCCACATATACCAAATTTGGCATCACATGACGTCAATAGACGACGAAGGTAAATGACAGGTCCAAACATGATAATAATGATATGCGTGTCAGCGAAGCGTGACTGCAGGCTACGCTCATAGCGTGCTCATTGCCGTTTTACTGGTTCCACATACACCAAATTCGGTATTACGTGACGTGAATGAACGAAAAATAAAAACGACAGGTTTAAACATGATAATCATGATATGCGTGTCATGTAAAACATGACTACATGCTACGCTCATAGCGCGCTCGCGGCCGTTTTGATAGCTCGACATTTACAAATGTTGGTATACGTGACGTGAATAGACGAAGGTAAATGACACGTCCAAACACGATAATCATGGCATGCGTGTCATATAAAACCTGACTACATGCTACGCTCATAGCAAGCTCGCGGCCATTTCGCTAGCTCCACATATAACAAATTGGGTATCAGGGGACGAGAATAGATGACGAAGGTAAATGGCATGTTCAAACATGATAATAACGACGTGCACGTCATGTGCGGCATAACTTACCTCCGCCTCGTAACGTTGTGCTGATTTCAAAGTGTCATATCCACCTTTCTCATCGTGCTTCGCATATCACCGATTCCCACTGTACGTGCGATCTGCCATTTTTTTTCTCTTTCTTGCTCTCGTGTTTTTGCTTTACTTGTACGCTATAATGAAGCATTCAATGTTTTCCACGTCATAATGATAACTAGTACAACCAGACTTGCTGTAGGCTGGCTTTGCCGTGGCCTTCGAGATTGGTTTCGCCTGTGGTACGCGAGACAACATTCTGCCTTTCGAGGGCTACGTAACCTGTAATGGGTGCGTTGATACCTGTGCCACTCTGTCTGCCGCGGAGGGTGTAGCGAGTGCCTTGCCACAGGGGAAAAAAAACAGTGTAAGGAAAAAGTGACCCTTGTAGAGGAAGCATAAAAAAATTTCAACTGAAGAAGCATTGATGTACTTTCCTAGAGTGTAGTCCTTTCATGCCAAGCAGAGTATTGAGCACCATACGTTATACACTATGACCGAATTCATGACCCTTGCAGTACTATGTGCGCAAATTCAATGAACAATTACAGCATGATTCAAAAGATGCCAAATATGCAAATATTCACAATAGCATAAGCAGCATAATAAATATATAGCTCTAATTTTATTTCACCAACTTTTATCGTTAATTTCTGATAACAACTTGAAACAGCAGTTTCAGATTAGAGAGCTTTCAATTTAACGAAGTTTTTGCAAGGGTCCCTTGGAAGTTTGTTCAAGTTATGTTTCACTGCACTAATGCGTGAGAGATGGTTTCATTTGTTCCTGTAGGCGGTGCAGTTTGTGTTACAATACAAGCTCAAATCTTTTAAAACATCAGTGTGGAATCGGAACTCAAATCCTTTTTAATTTACTGAGTGAATATGCCCTAGACAACTTCAACTTTTCTTGTACATGTGCAGCTAAATTAAGTCTTCTGACACTTACGGCACATAATCGTTTTTTATTTTACGGCAGTGCTTTATTGTATAAACTTAAAGACAGAGATTACGACAAGGGCATAATAATCGTGAATAACGGATGCCAACTAAGATGTGAAGGCAAATGGAATATAACAAAATGCTGCTAAACGTCATATTAAGTCAATAGGACGGAGTTTTCGCCCGTTCGCGCGCTCTCAGTGGCTCCTGTGCGGATACTGGCGTCGTGCTGCCCTCTAGGTATGGCGGAGCGAAACTCTATGGCTATCTCACGACCACATGCTCATAGATGGCAGAAGGGCGGATTGCGAGCCATGTGTCGCAAACTTGTTTGCTCCTCTGCGGGGCCCCCGTGCGGGTATTTTTTTTTGGCTTGGTGTTTGCAGGCGCGAAACTGCATGTGGTGCTGTGCGAAACGTCGTATAAGTGCAGTACGAACCATGAAGAGGTCAGCACGCCGACATTTGTCTTGCACATTTAGTTCGCGACGTCGCAACATAAAATATGTATTTAGTCAAACTCACGCGCTTTGTTGAGTACTAAGACATACTCAGTTTGATCAGATAAAACGTTTGGATTTGTGTGGGAGAATACCTCATTCTCATGACGATTTTAATATTTAGAAATTTCGTATGACCTTCGACAATTGATGATCATTTTTTGCTGAAAAAGGGCTTCTGGTTTAGTATTATGCTTCTATGGGGTGTAGTGTCAGAACGGACAGATGGAATAATTAAGTAGCTTACGCTTTGTTGATCAACGAACTTTAGAAATGAAGCTGCCTGGATGATTGACGCAGGAGGACGACGAGAAACAGTGTCATTGCGTGAGGCTTATGTACTGGCCGACTTCCTCACGCAGCATTGAGTATTTTGTCCCACACCCTTCGGGTAAAACCTATTCATTTATTCAAGGATATCATTGTCCTAAATAAAATGTTGGCAACTACATATACGGCGCCACAGTCAAGGGCTATAACGTACTTATTTTCCGTTTGGCAAATAAAATTAGGAGTGCCTACTTGTCACTTAAAACTTGTCACTTAAAGCAAAGTTATCCCGTACGGAATATAATCTTAGTTGAGATCTTAGCAGGTCGGCCTTTATATAAGCAAGCGCTGTGCCTGCCAGTAAAGTTAATAATCAGCTGTGTCAGGAGGACATATCATCAAGGCATCATAATGACGGTAGCAATTGAAACACGCGCGCTTTACAAGGACAGGCCTGCCGCAAATCAAACGACGTTGACCTACTGAGCTGAAGAATGCGTTAGCACAAGACCGTGCAGTATTCAAATCTATATAGCATATGACTTGATGCATGATAACCATTCACATATGGGCTTCTATCATTAGATTGTTGTAGCGCTGTAGTGCGAAAACACAAAAAGAGCAAGTTTAAATTGCGACATTTATTTACGTTTCGCGTTTGATTCTTCCACATTCACATTTTCCGCCAGCCCTGAC